GCCTTGCCCTCTCCACCTCCACCACCCTCTGGTCAGCCTCCACCCGACGCGCCTTCTCAATTTCTATCGCCTCCCGCAGCCTCGCCAGCTCCTCCTCAAGACCATCTCCCTTCACCATATTCCCACAGTTCTTGTGGTTCTCGTCATTTCCCTGCCTCCCCTCCTCAGCCTTCAACACCGCCACCTCCTCCATCACTTCCCCATGGAGGACCTGAAAGACCCTCCACAGCAACGCCCAACACCTCCACTACCTTCAGCTCCTCATAAGCCTGACCAACACCATCCATCTTCAACAGGGCCTCCTCAGAATTCGCCACTTCACACTTGGCCACCTCTGCAGCCTTTCGAGCCTCAACCACCTCACGACGCAAAGCTGACAGCAAATCCCCATACACTACGACATAGCCTACAGCTCACCCTTCGTCTCCGCCTCCAGCTCCTCCACCCTCAACGACTTCACCTAATTCGAAGACCTTCACCCACCCCCTCCCCCTCTCCTCCGCCCCACCTCTCTATCCACCCCTTGCTCCTCGACCAGCATAGTGATAAACCTGGTACTTGCATAGTAGACTCCCGCCGAGCACAGGGCATATGCCACAATCACTGGTAACTGCAGAGGGAACAAGTCGAATACCCTCGACCACCTCCGCCTACCCCAAAGCCGAAGAGATGGAAGACCCCAACAGGGACCATCGACGCCAACAACATGACCACCCCAAAGACAGGGAGGGTTGCTTTTGCAGAGCGCACCACATCAGACCTAAGGGGCGATCCATAGAGGCCCCAGCCCCCCAGGGCTTACTGCATGACATCCTCGCCGTTCTGAGATTTGGCCTTATCGCGCGATCCACGGACGACAAGAGTCGAGACATTCTTGCGAGAGGGCATAATGAGTGACCGAAAAAGTGCTGACCCCAGGACCCCAGTGCTGCCAACACCACCCTACTACACCTAAGTCAACCGCCATCCCTCTCAGGGAGATGAAGAGGTAACCCATCCAAACAGAGAACCTTCCTTCGTCGCGGCAAACTGCTGCTGGCCCCACTCTCCCTCGACCGCTTCTGGCCACCTAAACGAGCCCAACATAACCCCACCACCATCACCGTCCTCAGCCCCCACCACCAGCATGCAGCCTCCGGTACTCCCTAAAATCTTCCACTTCGAACACATAGCCAAACTCAGGCCGCGCCGTCTTACGACCAAACAATATAACATCTCCTACGAGGGGCCTACTACGCAACGAAGAGGGCCCATGGGCGTACCAGGGACCAGCTCCTGC